GCTGGTTGGCTCAGGCTTGCTAACCGTAACTGGCTTAACACTCTGGCGCTGAAGAGTAGTCCTGCCGCTGCTTATATGCTGGTCTCCCTGATGAGCAAATCAGCCGCAGGTGTGGTAGTCAGCTTCAGCTCCAGGAGACCTAGGGTGCCCTCTGCTGGAGAAAGGTGGACAGATCTCCAGATCCCAACAGGTTCAAGCCCCAGCTCTGGTTCTCAGTGTTGTTGTGTCCTTGGGCAAGACACTTCACCTGCATTTTCTACTGAGGGTTCAGAGTGCCCGGTGGCACCAGCATACGGCAGCCTCACTTCTGTCAGTGAGCCCTAGCTTGCCATAATCAGTGTGTAGTGCAATGCGCTTTGGTCAAGTCCCTGACTTGAAAAAGCACTATAGAAGTACAGACCATTTACCATTTGAACATCAACACAAGTAATCATAACTGTACTTTATTGTGATGTAAATCATCCAGTGCTGGGGAAATGCATAAAAGAAATTTATGCATGTATGTGGAAAACTCTTTTTCAGCTGAACCAACACAAAACAGAAGAAATCATTTTTGGACCACAGGATGAGAATTTAAATTTAGCACATAGCTTCAGTCATTTTAGCTAGAAACCACCAATAAGACACAATCTGGGTGTAGTAATGGACTTAGACCTGAACTTTCAGAAGGCACGTAAATATAATACCTAAGTTGGCCTTCTAATACCTAAAGAACATCCCATTGACTAAAGGATTAATGTCTTAGCAGGATCTTGAAAAATGTATTCATATCTGTCACTCCAAAAAAGTAAAAACAAAGTCTAAAGACGTTTCACTTCCCATCCAGGAAGCTTTATCAATTCAAAATGTTGCAAAAGCTTCCTGGCTAGGAAGCAAAATGTCTTCAAACATGGAAATAAAGTCCAGTGGATTGTTTTTTTTTTTTTTTTTTTTTTTTTTTAATGACTATGACTTGGATGACTGGGAACCTTCATCGGGGATTAGTGCAATACACTGCATGAAAAGTGAGATTTTCGTCCCCGTAAACTCCCGCAGATCTGCCTGATTTTCGTCAGTTTCCGACAATTTGCAACCCGTGCTTGTCCGCGTTTGTCGTGCCACAAATTGTCGAAAACGTACCATGACGTATGTGGAGAGCGATCAGCTGTACTAATGGCCCTAATTAGCATATGAATACAGCAAACCCGCGCGGCTGGCCAAGTCTGGCTTGAATAACCTTCTCAGTATTGGCTGAAACCACTATTCTCAAACAAATGAAATCGCTCGTGATTGGCAGCAAAACCACACGTGGCCACGCCAGGCTTTAATTTTCTTACTGAGTATTGGACGGAACCACTTATTTTTAAACAAGTAAAGTCGCTCGTGATTGGTTGGCATATATATATATTTACATATAAATTTACATATATATATTTATTCATATATATATATATATATATATTTATTCATTCATATATTTATTCATTCATATGTTTATTCATTCATATATTTATTCATTCATATGGTGTGTATTTATGTTATCCTACACTACTACACAATTATTATGCTACCATCAAGGACATGAATGAATTTATACAGGAAATGAAGATTTGCCGGGAAGCTGTTTATGCAAAGAAAGAGCTTTATTAAAACACACACAACTATATACAACGCGTATCCAAACACATGCGTTTCTAAAAATTAAAAGTCCGTGAACGGTCCGTTTGCTTCCTCGGGGTTGGAGGTAACAGGCAGCATTCCCTCCGAGGCAGGTCCGATGTGCAGACGCCTAGTGTGCGTGGCCCTGTACTTCGGCATCGCTTCTAACTGGGACTGCAGCTTAACACAGAGTTCAGTGAGATCCGGCCTACGAAATGGCGGCGACCGTACAATCCATCCAGAGACACCGCCGAGGAAGGCGGACTTCCAGAGTTCCACTTCCTCATCTGCTAGCACACTCTGCCTCGCTTTCAGCAGCTGAAAAAAAAAACAATGAATCAGCGCACTGCGTATGGACACAACACATCTATTAATGCACCTGAAAAATAGTCACCAAATAAAGTCTTACCCTCTTTCTTCTGGCCCGACTCCGAGCAGATAGCCTCCGCACGCAGCGTGTGGCTGGCTGCGTATATCTGAAGCTCCTGCATACCGTCTGAAAATACGTCTTACAGGCAGCTGGAAAACAATTAAATGAGAGTGGTATAAATAAAAAATCAAACGCAAGTCACAGTAACAAGGAAGGAGAAAACATTAAAACAAGTCACTTACACACAATGTCGTCTTTATCAACATCGTGCAAATCTGGACTTGCCGAGATGGGAGGTCTGTGAAAACAAAATGTAAAGCTATGATCGGTATCTATCCGTATCCATTTCCTTTTACCGCAGAATGAAAGCATATTCTTTAAATCTTACCCTTGCTCCGGTTCATAGCGCCTGCAATTAGTCTCCGAGTTGTTAAGACGGCGTACTGCTTCCTGTAATCACAAAAAATACACTTTAATAAAGCTTGTTCTTGCAAGGCTACTATTAGCCGCTATAAGCCGTAGCTCAGGCTAGGCCGCTTTTAGCTTAGCAGGCAGTAATCGAACATATATTTACCGCTAGCATCTCTTCTTTGAGTTCGTCTTGTTCGATGCAGAGTCGCCATCGCGTCCAAGAGGAGTTTTACCCCGAAATCCAGAAGCTCCAGACCGCTGCACAAAGCAAAGCATACATCCTCCACTGTGGATCCAGACCCCGCCGCTCTGAGTTGGCTACTTCCAACAGGATAATGCGCCATGTTATAAAGTGAATCATCTCAGACTCATTTCTTGAAACTTTTCCACTTAAGTAATTGTGAATTGAGCATATTGACAGACAACATTTTATTTTTTATCTTAAATGCAAATTTTTTTTTTTTTTATAATTACCGCTCTAAATGTATTGCTCTGTCAGCTAAAGATCTGTTTTGGTCTCTATACTTTAATTAAATAAATCAATTCAAGCTAAAATGTGAGAGGCTATACTAAGCCTGATCTCTTTGTATCAGAGATTTTCTTCCTCAGAAAGATGTCACTTGGGGTAAAACCCCCCCTGCAACCCTGGTTTGCATTTGTATAGCTCACAGCATGTTCATTTACATGTTAAAGCCTCCCCTAGAATTCCATGGGGGGGAGGCATGGGGGGAACACTGCCTAACAGAGTCCACGTAAATTTTGACAATTTACGGGAGTTTTCGGCGAAGCCTGCAAATTGTCGTAAACTGCCGCTAACCTGAAGTTCCACGACAATCTACAGTGCCGCATATTGACGAAAATCCCACTTTTCATGCAGTGATAGTGCCTTAGGGCTAAAAAGATGATGAAATAGCTGCAGTTAATCCAGAATGCTTCTTCCTCATTCTCTCTGGAAATCTAAAGCACATCAGCCCAGTTACTTCCTATATCTTAGAGCAGCGGTCCCCAACCTTTTTTGCACCACGGACCGCTATATGTCAGACAATATTTTCACGGACCGGGGGGGGGGGGCGGGACCGTTTTTTACTTGATCGTATTTACCAACGCATCCTCCCACCTCCCCACCGCGCCAGCCCCCCCGCGCTGACCGGCTGGGCGGGGGGGTAAATACGATCAAGTAAAATGATACGACTGGCATAAAATCAAATACAAATAGCATAAAAATAAAGGAAGCCGGTCCCATTGTGGCGTAATCGGAGACAATGACACACGAAGTGTGCTCCTGATGTCCAGTCTGCTCCGTAGCTTTGTTTTGGTCGCTGTAACCGCAGAAAAATCCTGCTTCACAAAGATAGGATGTTATAGATAGGATGAGTCTTGAACTGAATTAACCTGTGTCAAGAGGCACAGAGGCACCGACTGATCTAATTGGGAGAGAATACCGCATTTTTTTATATTTTTCAAAAAACATCACTCAGACTCTGATCGTCGATAAGTTTTATATATATATATATATATATATATATATATATATATATATATATATATATATATATATATATATATATATATATATATATATATATATATATATATATATATATATATATATATATATATGCTGCCCGGTACCAAATGACCGACAGACCGGTACCGGTCCGCAGCCCGGTGGTTGGGGACTGCTGTCTTAGAGAACAGACTTTAAATCAGTTCTATTAGTCTATGAATCCCTGAATGGCTTAGCACCAAAACACAAAGCAGACTGGTAACGTCTTTTGACTCGTCAGTCAAGCCTGCATACCAAGAACCAGAACTAAAGATGGAGAAGCAGAGGTCAGTTCTTATGCTTCACTAATATGAAACTGCTTTAAACCAAGTTTAAAAACGTGTTGAAAGTGTTTAAAGAGTGTGCTAATTAAACATTATTAGTTTAAGTTTATAATCCAACTTTCTTTCATGGTATTATCATTTTATTTTTTATTTTCATTATCTAAGCTAAATCCAGTGGATGAAGGCTAAGTTAAGGCTGGTCATTTTAATTGTCTTTTTATATTTTCTTGTATATTCATATTCATCAGTTTTTAAATTACCTCTATGCCACAGCAATGTGTATTCCTATTGTGTTTTCTCATATATATAACTGCCTTGCCTTGCCTTTTGTTTCACATCCTTCGTTTAAGTCAATAGTGTGGCTAAAAAAAACAGAGTAAGATAAAAAAAAAAAAAGAATTGTCATTTTTTTGTCAACTTGTCTTCACTTTGCCTGACAAAACAGACTAAGTCCTTCACTTTAGTCTAGTAAGCAAGAGGAAAACATATGAACAAGTCATTGGGGAGTGCAGTTATAGTAGGAAACAAAGTGTGGATTTTTCTTGGAAGTCAGGAGTCATTTTACTTCTGTTCTCCCTCTAACCACACACTTTGATACACAAAGTCACACCCTGCCTCCATCCATTCTCTATAGCTCCTATGCTTTGCTCTACGTTGACATTTTTTGGTGTGTGTGTGTGTGTGTTTGTGAAGACAGCCTCCTGTTGACATCATTGACACTCCTCTTTGCTCCCCTGAGGTATAAAGGATCCGGTTGCTGTGGCAGCAGCATTCAGCTCCATCCAATCCCTCTCAGGTGCTTCACTTCAACTGAATAACAAAGCAGCACAGTCTGTGCCTTGATCTAGCAGTCTTTGCTTGTTGAATACTCTGTGGACTTTCGGTAAAGATCTATTCAATATGTCGATGGGGTTGGAGATTGTGGGGATTTCCCTTGGATTCATTGGATTGATTCTTGCGATCGTAACATGCGCCCTCCCAATGTGGAAGGTGTCAGCGTTCATCGGCGCCAACATCATCACGGCTCAGAATGTCTGGGAGGGCTTGTGGATGTCTTGCGTGGTCCAAAGTACAGGTCAGATGCAGTGCAAGTCCTATGACTCCATGTTAGAATTGCCTCAGGACCTTCAAGCCTCCAGGGCAATGACAATCATTGCTATACTACTCGGAGTGCTGGGGATCATGATCTCTATTGTAGGAGCCAAGTGCACCAACTGCATAGAAGATGAGGCATCCAAGGCCAAAGTGGTCATCATCTCTGGGATTTTCTTTGTCCTAGCAGGCCTTTTGGTCCTGATTCCTGTGTCTTGGTCTGCCAGTGTCATTGTCCGGGACTTCTACAATGCAATGCTGTCTCCTCCTCAGAAGAGAGAGATTGGGGCATCTCTCTATATCGGTTGGGGTTCAGCCGCCCTCTGCCTGATCGGAGGAGCAATGCTGTGCAGCCGCTGCCCACCCAAGGAAAAGAAGTACAAAGCACCCAGGATGGCGTACTCTGCCCCCCGCAGTGCAAGTGCTGGTGGAGGGTATGACAAGAAAGACTATGTTTAAACCACTCTAAATTGTCTGAAGAATTTATTTTGAAAGTAGTTTGAATGTTAGTTGCATTTCTGTGTTTGTAAAGATGTGTCCTGCTTGTTCATTGCTGTCTCAAAGATCGGGGTAAGCCCCTTTGAATGACTCCGAAATGAAGATTTTCTAAACTTTTTCATCTTTGTCTTATTTTTTTTTGGTCAACATGTTAATTTACAAACTCTTGGTCTATTATGCATGAAGAACGGGAGCATTAGAGCTTTGTTTTTTTGTTAAAAATGATCATAATCCCTTCAAACGTTACACTGGAATTTGTAACTCTAGTCTCTGCGACTGTGAAAATTTAAACCCACTTTCGACTTTTGCAGTAGATAGCTGGTGGCAAGGAGTTATGTTACATTGAAAATTGCTGGGAAAACGTTGCGTGTCATGTCACCTGACTATGACAAGGAAGAGCTGGCTCTCGTTTTACATGGATTTGTTTGGATGATCGTTCAGTGTGTGCCTCTCTGTGCGTGTTTTGCATGTAATATTTGCTTAAGAAGGTTTCAGCTGAGACTGAAACTAAAGATGAATCATTGATATCATTTCATCTTATCAAGATGCTTTTTGAGTTTCACCCTGTACAAACAAAATCTTCTTTTTTTTTATTAATGTTGAAATGTTTTTTATTTTTTTCACTCTCTTCTTACACTTCATATCGATATGTGTTTTAAATAATCTTATTTACCACATTTGGGTGACAAATAATAGGTCATAAATCACTAGATCTTGAAAGGAAAAGCTTCATCAACTGTGTTTCCTTCACTGTTCTGAACACAATGGTAATGTTTTAAATGTATACAAATATTATCACAAATAATGTTTCTGTACTTGTATGAAGAAATATTTTTTCATTCATAACCCTGTTAAAGATTTCAATAAAAGTCATTTTTCTTATGAAACAAATGTTGACCTTTTTTTTTTTTTTTTTAAAAAGGAAAAAAAAACAGAGACTCGTTCTGTGGGCTTCTAGTGCAAACAAGCTTGAAGCAAAGTCAAACAGCTCAACAAAGGTAAAGTGCTTTCGGAGGTGGACTTCTTTGTTAAGCCAGCAGCTGAAGTGCAGTTTTAGCCTGATATGTCTGTTGTGTGATAGGGTTGTAATGACAAACACGACTGAACAAATAAAACAGTAAAATAGGATGTGGAAATGAGAGACCAGAATGTATCCTACTGCATCTGATATAAACTTTTATGATTTGAAAACACATTTAAAAGGTTATTTATAGGTACACACTAATGGTATTATAAGATACACTATATTGCCAAAAGTATTTGCTCACCTGCCTTGACTCACATATGAGCTTAAGTGACATCCCGTTCCTAATCCATAGGGTTCAATATGACGTCGGTCCACCCTTTGCAGCTAGAACAGCTTCAACTCTTCTGGGAAGGCTGTCCACAAGGTTTAGGAGTGTGTTTATGGGAATTTTTGACCATTCTTCCAGAAGCGCATTTGTGAGGTTGCACACTGATGTTGGACGAGAAGGCCTGGCTCTCAGTCTCCGCTCTAATTCATCCCAAAGGTGTTCTATCGGGTTGAGGTCAGGACTCTGTGCAGGCCAGTCAAGTTCATCCACACCAGACTCTGTCATCCATGTCTTTATGGACCTTGCTTTGTGCACTGGTGCACAGTCATGTTGGAAGAGGAAGGGGCCAGCTCCAAACTGTTCCCACAAAGTTGGGAGCATGGAATTGTCCAAAATGTCTTGGGATGCTGAAGCATTCAGAGTTCCTTTCACTGGAACTAAGGGGCCAAGCCCAGCTCCTGAAAAACAACCCCACACCATAATCCCCCCTCCAACAAACTTTACACTTGGCACAATGCAGTCAGACAAGTACCGTTCTCCTGGCAACCGCCAAACCCAGACCCGTCCATCAGATTGCCAGATGGAGAAGCGCGATTCGTCACTCCAGAGAACGCGTCTCCACTGCTCTAGAGTCCAGTGGCGGCGTGCTTTACACCACCGCATCCGACGCTTTGCATTGCACTTGGTGATGTATGGCTTGGATGCAGCTGCTCGACCATGGAAACCCATTCCATGAAGCTCTCTGCGCACTGTTCTTGAGCTAATCTGAAGGCCACATGAAGTTTGGAGGTCTGTAGTGATTGACTCTGCAGAAAGTTGGCGACCTCTTCGCACTATGCGCGTCAGCATCCGCTGACCCCGCTCCGTCAGTTTACGTGGCCTACCACTTCGTGGCTGAGTTGCTGTCGTTCCCAAACACTTCCATTTTCTTATAATACAGCTGACAGTTGACTGTGGAATATTTAGGAGCGAGGAAATTTCACGACTGGATTTGTTGCACAGGTGGCATCCTATCACAGTTCCACGCTGGAATTCACTGAGCTCCTGAGAGCGACCCATTCTTTCACAAATGTTTGTAAAAACAGTCTGCATGCCTAGGTGCTTGAATTTATACACCTGTGGCCATGGAAGTGATTGGAACACCTGATTCCAATAATTTGGATGGGTGAGCAAATACTTTTGGCAATATAGTGTATGTTTGAGGGCTGCAGGTTTTATTCATTTTTATAGCTGGTTTTAATATGTGTGAGTTATATAATACCTTTTTTTAGAAAAGGTTGACAGAAGATTGCAGTTCACAAAAGCAAATTTTGTAATTAGGCTATAAGAGCTGTAAACCAACCAAGATTGTCGGTCCACCTTGTATGAACAGAAGCAGTGAAGAGACACACGTTAACTATGGTGGAGCTGCAGAGATCCACCCCTAACGCGTGGTTCACACTGCAAGGTTTTAAAATTGTCCAAGGATTTTATCTTGATTTTAACACAACAATCATGAATTTTATATATAACACGTTTGGTCCATTTGGTTCTACTGCGGGGTATAAAACCACATGGCAAGCATAGCACAATACAAATGAACACTTAAAAAAAGAAAGAAAAAGTTTGATAAGAGATCTCAAAAATCCTCTCAGGATCAAATATGAGTTCAGACCAAATAAACATGGCCGACGAGGAAGAAGATATGACAATTATTGCTCTACTAATTTTATGAGAGGTTTTGGACTTATCTGGCTTCAATATGATAATAACATTTATATGATAAATGTTATGACAACATGATAATAAAATACAGATGATATTAATATTTGTCCTGGTTTATTAGCTTGGATGCTGGACTTTTTAAAGCTTTGACCCCCAACAGGTCAAAGTGAATGGTTGCATATCACCGCCTCTCCTCTCTTGGACTTGGCGTGACAGCGGCGTGTTCTCTCCCTCGTCTTGTTTAATATTAATTGAACTTTATTGATCTCACATTGGAGAAATTTACCTCTGCATTCAACCAATCCACGTGGAGAGCAGTGGGCTGCCATTGTGCGGCGCCCGGGGAGCAATCGTAGGTTAAAGGTCTTGCGCAGAGAGGCAAAGTGGCAGTCTGTGGGATCGAGCTCAGAACATCAGGATTTCAGGCTCTAAGCCCTAAACACTAGGTCGCCATTCTAAATAGATGCTAATCGCAAAACAGACATACAGTATCCTAACGTATGCTGATGACACAGTTATCTTCAGTCTTTCACAACATAGGGAGGCGGAACATGTCCCTTTGGATGATTAATTTATTTCAGTCTAAACAATTTGAAACTGAATATTAAAACAAAAAACAAATATTTTTGGTACAATTATCAACAATCGGCTGATCTTTAATCTGAAATTTAATATGATCTGCATTTAATGGACTAATGAGACTTATTTTTTAGGAACGGTAAACATAATGTAAAAAAAAAGTATTGAGCATCTTTGATGAGACATCAATTGAAACAGTTTTAACATTTTCTATCATCGCTTGGTGTGGTAGTCTAAATGTTCAAAACAAAAACAGTCTTGATCATTTTTTTTAAGGCAATAAATAACAATATTGGTGTTGCCCAGCCTTACCTGAATGGCATATTTATCTGTCAATAAAAGCTAGGATCATATTACACTTCCTAGACCAACCGCTCCATCTGGAGTTCAAGCTTCCTGGGTGGAGATTTAGGCTTCCTAAGAAAAAGCAACAGATGGAAAAAATGTCTTTGTACCAATAGCAATCAGATTTTCTTATATATTCTTTTTTATTATAATAAATTATTTTATCTTTCTTTTTATGAGTTATGTGTTTAACATGTTGAAAAGTCACACTTTATGCATGTATGCTGAATGGATTGCAACGGAGCAATCAGGAGCTCTGCGGGAGGAATAAGTGCAGGAACATGTTAATCAGCTGACTGCCATGTCAGATGATAAAGAGAGAAGCAACATAACAAACCAGTGCACACCCCTGCACTTATCTATTCAATGATAAATCTATCGCACACTAATGTACCTGATATAATGATTAACAATTGAACTTTATTGATCTCAAATTGGAGAAATTTACCTCTGCATTTAACTCATCCCCTTGCCACTCCCCGGGGAGCAGTGTGGGGTTAAGGGTCTTTTGCTCAGGGACCCAGAGTGGCAGTCTGTGGGAGTGGGACTCGAACTCCAAGCTCTATGCCCTAACCACTAGGCCACCACTCCCCTGATAAAAATGCAGATTAAGGTGCAGCCAGACTAACGTTGACAATGAAAGCTGAAAAACTTCCCTTCTTTAGTTAATCACTAAAGAAAATGTTATGCAAAATGACCAGAAAGACAGAAATTGTCTAGAACTTGTGCTGCATACATTTGTGTTGACCATATCCTTAGTTGCATTGTAACAATATGTCTGGTATGCATCAACTCCATGTTTGTTTTTTACTGAATAATTTCTTGTGTGGCTCCCAACAGTAATTGTAATTTTTATCATTTGCAAACTGACAGGCAAATGGAAGCAGTGCTGCAACAAACTTAAGCAAATACAACAAAATAATTGTAATACATACAAACATGGTTCCCTACGTGATATTATATCATTATTTCTCTAAGGGAGAACTCACTGTGGAGGGCTGAAACTGACAGAATTAAAAAACAGGTGCAATAAAAGTGAGCGAAAATTTTTACCTTCACTCAGGGTAAATTCTTTAAGGAACACAGCTGCAAAAAAGCAAGAGTAATCTTGGCAAGATTTGCAGATCAGGTCAATGCATTGGTGATATTTCTAAAAGAATCTAGGTTATATTTTCACATTACAATTATTCAATGTAAAAGAGAAGATAATATGTTTTGTGTGTGTATGGAATATGAGTCTAGGTGCAACACAAAATGCACCAAACGGGACGAACAAGGGAAGAGAAGATTAAAGATATAAGGTGAGGTCCAGCTCTAAGCTATTATTTGTAACAGTAACCAACTAAAGCATCCTTTACATGGATAAAGGAGTTCTACTAGTTTTACTATTTTATATAGAATTCAAATTATAAAGTTAAATATATGATTTACAAGGAAATAATGTATAGCAGGACATCACATTCTCAGTATTTCTAACTTTTTATCAAAAACATAAAAATGCTCCCATATGTATCTGATTTAGTGCTTATATAGGAAACTCTGATGACTTTAGAAAAATATTTAAAAGAAAAGATATCTAATCTAATCATTGTCTAATAATCCTCTCCTTACTGAGGTACCTTTACAGCAGGGGTCTGCAACCTGCTGCTCCATATGTGGTTCTTTGAACCCTCTACACTGGATCTTAACAGTGCTGAAAAGTTTATAAAGAGCTAAATAATGTGGTATAACAAATGCCAGTCTTAAAAGCTTTAGTGAGTTTTATAAGATGGAAAAGAAATATATTAAAGGACCAGAAATATGAATAGAGCCATCTTTTTTCTTTTAATAAGCTTGGAAATTATGTGCTGTGATATTTCAACAGCTAAAAGTAAATAAATAGTAAAAAAAAAGTTGTTTAAGATGTCAACTAATTTCTTATATGAGATGATAGAAATAATTAAAAGAAGTCATGT